GACGCGGCTCCCCAGCCAGCTGGCCATGGCGCTCAGGCAGGGAGCACCACACTCCACGTGGGCAGGCACAGAGGGGAAGCCGCCCGATCAGCTAGAGCGCAGTTCAGCCTCCTCTGGGCTGAAAGCCACAGCCAGCTGGCCAGGCAGCTTCTTCTCTGCACCAGCCCACGTGGAGCATGGTGCACCCTGGCTGAGCACCACTTCCAAATGTTGAAAAACCACTTCCAAATGTTGGAAAATCCTTTTTTAAAAAGCAGCAGTATAAGGATTGGGGATAGCAAGTGATGGAGAGGAGGAGAATAGAGAGGGCGGGGCTTCAAGGAAGGGGCGGGGCTTCAAGGAAGGGGCGGGGCAGTAGATCTTGGCTTGGTCTGTCATTTAAAAAGTGATCTTGGGTGTAAAAAGGTTGGAGACCACTGTCCTAGGGTCAGTGGTAAGCTTTTTGCCATCCCTGTGAACGGCTATCCACGTTACGAGCCTCTGAATATCCCAGTTCACAGATGCTCAAAGACTTAGTAAAGTTTGGCAGCTAATCTGTGTGTGAAGGTTGTCTGCACTGGGCATGCACCACCCGAGATCCGTTGGAACTGAGCAGGACTTTCCCTGCTATTGGTCCTCCTGGCTATTGGGGACCATTGTGACCCAGGTCCAAAACTGGGTGACACCGAATACCTCAGTGTTCCTGCTACTAAAGCCCAGACAACATGAAAGAGACAGAGGAATCAGCTTGACTTCAGTTCAGAGGGTTCAGGGGACAGAACTGGGGAGAGGGAGCCTGGGATGAGGGCTGGGACAAGGACAGATTGGAGAGCCAAGTGGCAGAAGGCTGTGTAATAAACTGAATTACCCTCTGACCTGGAACTGAAAAGAGAGGGACTTCATAACTCCCACAGCGTCTATCCGTTTACTAGTGCTATCTAGTGGCAGACATCTGTGACATAGAGACAGCTGAGATCAGGATGGGTCCGCATGATGGATTTGATTTTTTTCCCCGTTTACAGTTCAGCTTCCTCGTGCATTTGCATTATGACAGTCTTTAAGTCTGTGATTACACACTATTTTCCCCACACACAGGGTACCTGCCTTATCATGGTGTAACCTGTGCACTCCAGCAGACAGAGCCACCCTTCCACCCCACCCCTCCACCCTCTCAGACACTGATTGCACTCTCCCCTTGAGCTTTCTGTGGCACACTCATTCCCCCTGTAGCACAGTGGATCCTTTGTCTTTTGGGCTCTCATGGAAACAGAGAGACATGTTTTGGGCTTAAGAAAGTAAACTGGGAGGAGATGTGGAAAATACAAGCCCAATGCATTTTGAATATACCTCACTGATTTTTGCACTTTCCCCTTTTGTTCCTTTTGCAGGAAGTTGAAGAGTTCAATTTTATTACACAGTTAGCAGGTTTGACAGACCACCTGCCAGTGGCTATGCGTCTGATGGTATCTACAGGGGAAGAGGATTCATAAAACTGACCAGCTTAGTCAGAAGATTAGAAGAGGGAAGTTTCAATTTGACCTATATCAGAGGATAAGAAAGAACTCTTCTGGTGCCACATTAAGATAGATAACTAGACCTGACCCAGGCTACCCCTCCACAACTCAACTGGCTTTCAAGTTCCTCTCAAAATGTACCAGCATCGGAGGAAATAAAGGGAAGAAATTATGTGGGTTGGGACCAATAAAAAACCATTGTAACAAGTTGGTCAGGTAACAGGGCAGGGCTGTATCTCATCGCTTTCACTGTGGACCAAAAGGAACCGAGATGGAAGTCCTTATTCCTTTTGAACCAGTGCCATTCTTACTAAAACATGTTTTTATACTAATATATAGCACAATTTAGTTTGTAATCCGTCTGTGAGTTAGTGCTGCTCAATGGATTTTTGCATATCTTTGTAAAACTAAGCTAAAGCTTTTTTTCTTTTCTTTTTCCAAGCCTGTTAATGTCGTAGTAGTATGCCTGCATCAGTAGCATGCGCCCGCATTGCATGCCACTCTGAGATAAATAGTCATTAAGATACCATGGGGGAAATAAGCATAGAAATAGAAATTCAAAATCAGAAGCTACCCAAGAAAAGCATTCTGGGATTGGCTAAACATTTTCCAATCAACTTAATGGACTTTAAAAAAAAAATCTGCACCCAATTTGCAATAAGAATCTTACCCTTTCAGAGTCCTCTCTAAGGATTATTATTAAAAATCAGATGTTAAAAGTTTAAAAATCTAGTCCCAGAATCCTTATTCCAACTATATGCCCATTAAAATCAACAAGAGTTTTGCCTGGGTAACAGCTCCAGAATAGGGCCTAAGTTTGCTAACTACATGATGCCACTTTTGAATGTCTTAGGGTTCCTTCCCCACATTTAGGGCAGTTCTGACTTACAGTATGAGGTTATATAGAATTGTATGGTTATCGATTCACGTGGTATCACTGATAATATCAGAGGGTCAATTCTCTTCTTTGATTGGAAACAATGAATGAGGAAAGACTTGTGACGAACATGCAAGACACAAAGTGATGATTTCAGAGAACAGATGAAGAAAGCAGAGTGTGTTTGACAAGACAGGTTGGGACACTGATTTTCAAAGGAACAGAAACTGATGGCAGAATAAAAAAACAAAAAAAGGGCACTAAAACCTGAAGCCTTTTTTAAAGGAGAACTCTTCTTGTGATCTGAAAATAATTTTTTAATGTGTGGAATACAGCCCTGCATTTTTGTGCCGTTTTTTTTTTTTTTTTTTTTTTTTTTTTTTTGTGGTGGTGGTTTTCTCTTTCCACTGCACAAACCTCCATCAGCCACTCCTTTTAGCAGCGAGTGCTTTCTTTACTGCCCTATCCCAGTGCCCTACCCTTTTCACCTTCCTGTCTCCCCTACTCATTACATTTCAAAAGGGATTCATAATTGAGCATACTGGCCCTTTGTCCATTTAGGGATGTAAAATGAGGCAAAAGCAAAGGAGGGGATGGAAGCCAATGAGCATGCCATACTAAAGAAATAGGCTTTTGCTCTTCTGAAGAAGAGTATTCTATTGAAAAGAATACCTCTGGGCCCACACGACCTGCTAATTTACCTGTTGTTCCTTAATCAAAGTCATTCTCCTTAACCTCACTCCATTTTTACACTGTTTTCCCCATTCTCTACCATGTATTTGGGGATTTTTTTAAGGACAATTTTTAAAGGAAAGGAAATTCACCTCTCAGTTGCACCCAAACTTTCACCAGTTTAAACATTTTGTTAGTCAATATGATGTAAATCTCTCTGTAGAATACTTATTATCCTTTAAACCTGTTATAGGCTTAAAATCATACAAATTCTTGCATGAGTTTAACTGCCTCCATTTAAAAACCAAATACTTAGTTAAAGCCATGTCACTCTGCATGTGGAGAAGCAGTTAGTCAGTTTCTTTCATTAGCACTGAGATCACTGGCTAGAGCCAGACAGTTTTCCTCTCCTCAGTCTTGACCCATCATATCCTTCATTTTTCAGTCCTGGGCTCCCTTGAACACATACTGCCTCTCACAACTAAATTGTGCCAAACTACATGGGGGACTGTGAAGTGCAATAGAGATTAGAATGAGACCAAATTTAGCATCCCTTTTGGTCTAAACAAGAATTGAAACCAAGTGCTGAGAGGCAGAAGCCTACTGCACTACTTATTCCCCTCTGTAGCTTTCTGTATGCACAGAGTAGGTGCGCACATGGTTTCCTGGTTTCTTTGCTCTGCAGCTAGCTCAGAAAGACTTTGAAAAAAATGCTTGTAATCCTATTTTCTATCTTGTTTGTATTTTATTAACCTTTTAAAAAACAGTATCAATAGCAATTTGTGTGCCGACCAGCAGCTATGCTGCCATATTACTATCAGTAGTAGAGCTACATCGGAGGTATAGTATTTTTAATAGCTTTCCTAACAATGTAAATTAGTTTGATATCAAATTCACTGATTATCAGTTAGTTGCTGAATTTATTGACACCATGTGGGATGTAAACATAACAATTACTGCCAAACAATGTTACACTATTTACAGTAAAAACTAATGATGTCTAAATTACTGTCAGTTTAATTCCGTGAAGTCATACTGACTCTAAAAGACAGGCACTTACCTTACACTTTTAGGATATGATGAGAGACACCTTTTCAATTCTGAAGTAAACAGATTCTTAGATTTTGATGTTCCAAATTTTTCAGTGCTCTCTGTTTTTAATGGTTGATAAATGCATAGTTATAAAATAGTCACTATTTGAAACAAAATACACCAACTAACCAATACAGTTAGTTGTTACTAAACTTACAGATCTAACCTTGCAAGAGGGTGATGCTAAGAGGTACAGTATTGTGACTTCTTTGTACAAATGCTCTTTGCTTTATTACATCGATCCTGTGCCTTCTGATGCCTTGATACACGAGAGGGATTTAGAGCATTATAGAACATACACTTTCCAGAGCATATGCTCCAGAGAACAGAAGACAGGACTATGCAGCACTTTAAAGACTAACAAGATGGTTATTAGGTAGTCTTTAAAGTGCTGCATAGTCCTGTCTTTTGTTTCAGCTAGACCAGACTAACATGGCTGCATCTCTATCACTACTCCAGAGAACAGTGCACTTTGTGAAAGAGGAACAGAAGTCTCATTCTCCACATCGATTCAAAAGGAGCCATTCAGACCATACACTACTGGCAGAATATTGATTTTTTTTTAAAGCCTTAAAACTCAGGTCATGTGATGGCATATTTTTATTTTCATTAATGTTTTTTAAATAACTACCACAGGATATTAAGACTCAAGCAGCTCCTAGAAAATAAATCCCAGCCTGATTCAGGACAGCATGACCACCCCTACTAACAGTATGACTATGTCTACACTCGCTGCTTCTTGCGCAGCTATGGCCGTTCTTGCGCATTGATCTGCAGAACGTCCACACTGCCCGCCTGCTCTTGCGCAGGGAAATTTACAGTACAGCGTGGTAAGAGAGGGCTTCTTGCATAAGAGCTACGCTCTTTTTTAACAGGTATAAGCCCTCTTGTGCAGGAGCTCTTGCTCAAGCAGGCAGTGTGGACTCTCGGCAGGGATTTCTTGCGCAAGAAAGTCCTATGGCTAAAATGGCCACCAGAGCTTTCTTGCGCAAGAAAGCGTCCACACTGCCATGGGCGCTCTTATGCAAAAGCACAGCTCGCACATGGCAGTGTGGACGTTTTCTTGCACAAGACTTCTTGCGCAAGAAGCTGTGAGTGTAGACATAGCCCAAGTGTTTCCCAAAGAGTATGAGTCAAACTCTCAATAGCTACTTACCCTACTGGGCATAGGAATTTTCAGAAGAGTGTGTGTATCTCCGAAGAGTGTGATGATACTATTTTTTGTTTAATAACCTAACATCAATACCAGTTCTTGATAAAATGACTGTGGACATCTTAGATGAAGTGTCACTGAATGGCTTTTTAAAAAGACACAATACACATATGCTCTGAAGAGTCAACTTCTGCTTTTGTTACACTCAATTCTCGTTTTACAAGGACAGTGTTGTTAGAACAGGAGAATGTTCCTTAAATGAGTATAAACGAAGGCTATCATTTTCAAAAAAGCCTCAGGATTTTAGACACCCAAATCCTATTGGCTTTCAATGGGAGATGGGTACCTAACACCCTTAGGGTGTGTCTACACTAGGTTGGTAGTTCGAGCTAGGTAGGCAAATGAAGGCAACCGGAGTGGAACGAGGTGTACCGGTAGTTCGAATTAGAGATTAAAATTCAAACTACCTACTCCGTGCCACATGTAGCCATGGGCACGGAGTTCAAACTAAGGGGGATTTAAAAATGGCGGCGCCCGGAAAAATGCAAATGAAGCCCAGGATATTTAAATCCCGGGCTTCATTTGCAATTCTGGTTGCCCTCATTTGCCTACCTAGCTCGAACTACCCTTAGAATCATAGAGTACTAGAACTGGAAGGGACCTTGAGAGGTCATCCAGTCCAGTCCCCTGCCCCCAGGCAGGACCAAGCATGGTCTATATCATCCCTGACAGACGTCTATCCAATCTGCTCTTAAATACTGTATCTCTAGTGATGGAGATTCCACAACCTCCCTAGGCAACTTATTCCAGAGTTTAACCACCTTAACAGGAAGTTTTTCCCAACATCCAACCTAAACCTCCCTTGCTGCAATTTAAGATCATTGCTGCTTGTCCTATCATCAGAGACCAAGGAAAACAATTTTTCTCCCTCCTCCTTGCAACACCCTTAGGCATCTTTGAAAATGACAGCCCAAAAGAAAAGTCTCAAACCTTTCTGGGCACATTCAGATCTGGTTAATGTGTGCACTATTTGCTTGCTGGCGTGGGGCTCTGAAAGGTATCAGTGGACAATATGTGATCATATGAGATACCATGCTACGTCTGCAACAAGCACTGAGGAAGAGAGCTTGTGACATTACTGTTGAATTCCACAGTGTAACATTTATGTTTTGGTTAATGTATTCTGATGTGGTTTGCATGGTGGCAGTTAGACTCAGTTTAAGCAGCCATTCAAGTTACCAGCAACAATGGGCTGCTCAATACAGGTGACCTAAGGAAAATGACTTTTACTTAATATTGGCTTCAAGGAGAGTTGGCGATACTCTGCATTTTGTTGAACTGCATTCTGCAACTGAGGTTACTTTGAGACAGTCTCCGAAGAGAGGATGTTTCCTAGTAAAAATTGTCTTTTACACATCACTGCAATGTCTTGTCCCATAGCTGTGACAGCTAATCTCTAACTCCTACCTGTTGGATAAAGCATGAAGCTTTACTATGGGACCTTCAGTTATTTCCCTTTTAAACCTTTTTTAATGGCTCTTCTCCAGTGATTCAGATTAAACAGATCTGACTGTCCCCAGCTTAATATAAGGAGCAATCAGGCCACTTTTGATTGGGTTGAGTTCAGCCCAACTCTGAAAATTATTTTTCTCCTCTCCTTTTGGATCAAGAGGAATGAGAGAAGAGGCATGTGTAGGATTCATGAGTGTTCCTGGTTATCCTCCATCATGTCCCTGGTCACTAAAGTAGGTATTCCTGAAGATTGTCCATAACCATCTTGTTTTAAATATGACTATTAATCTTGATGCTTTTTAAATATTGTATTAATGCTGAGGTTTAGAAACCAGATATAAAATAACTTTTTTATTTCAATGATTTTTTGGTATTGTATCCTGGAACCTAATGTTTTTATATGGTAAGCACACAGCTGACATTTTGTTATAAATGTATACAAAACAAAAAAATCAAACATGTTCATTGTTTTTTTTGCCTGTAAGAAAACCACAGTCTTACACCTGATGAAAAACAAGATATTTTGAAAAAAGAATCACTTTTTTTCTTTACTGGTGCTGAAAGGAATTAATGGTTGATTCAAATGAGATAATAAAATGTCAAGGCTCAAATATTTCTCTGCATTCCACTTATTACTTTTGTTTCAATGTGTTGGAGTCTAAAAAATTAATGTTAAAAAGAGTCAAATGCAGCCAATAGAACTATAATTCTTTATTAAGTTTTCCTATGAAGTCTCATTATGCTGTCATTAGTTATATTATAGTAACATCTACTTTTCCCAACTGAGATTCCACTGTGCTAGGCACTATTCAAACACATAGGAAGACAATTTTTCCTGTAATGAAGAGCTCTGCAATCTAAACTATTAAAGGAAGGGAGAAATAAAAGAATTAGCCCTATTTTACAGATGGAAGGAT